CCCCCCCTGTCCCCTGGCTGTCCCCCCTCACCATGGCGGCCACGGGGAACAGGTAGGGGTGGTTGCAGCACTTCTTGAGGTCCATCATGATGTTGAGCAGCGACACCTGGTTGCCGCCGCCCCGCGAGTTCAGCGCCTCGAAGTTGCGCGTCAGGATGTACTTGTAGTACTTCCTAAGGGGAGGGACAGCGGTGGGACCCGGGGGGGCCTGGGGACCATCTGGGGGGACCCCCAAACCCCCCCTGCCCCACGGGACAACCCCTCCCGGCCTTACTTCTGCATGGGGCTGAGCTCCACGCGCACGATGAGCTCCGTCTTGGCCGGCATGTTCTTGAAGACGTCGGCCTTGAGGCGCCGCAGCATGTGGGGCCCCAGCAGGTCGTGCAGCTTCTTGATCTGGTCCTCCTTGGAGATGTCGGCGAACTCCTCCAGGAAACCCTCCAGGTTGCTGTGGGAAAGGAGGGGAGGGGGACGTGAGGGGATGTGGGGATGAGAGGGGGACACACACCACGGGAGGGGATGTGGTGGGGGCAGGAGGGGAGATGGGGGACGGGGGGGACAGGAGGGAATGGAGGGGGGACAGGAGGGGACAGAGGGGGTAGAAGGAGACAAGGGGGGACCTGGGGGGATAGGAGGGGACCCCCAGACGATGGGGGGGATCAGGGGACAGGAAGGGATAGGAGGAGATCTGGGGGGACAGGAGGGGACCCAGAGGACAGGGGGGGACAGGAGGGAAAGGGGGGCGACAGGAAGGGACAGGAGGAACAGGGGGGACAGAGGGGGTAGAAGGAGACAAGGGGGGACAGGAGGGGACCCAGAGAACAGGAGGAGACCAGAGGGGACAGGAGGGGATCTGGGGGGACAGGAGGGGACAGGAGGGGACCCAGAGGATGGGGGGGACAGGAGGGGATCCAGGGGGACAGGAAGAGACCCAGAGGATGGGGGGGACCAGAGGGGATAGGAGGGGATTCAGGGGGAGAAGAGGGGACCCAGAGGACAGGGTGAGGACAGGAGGGGATTCAGGGGGACAGGAGGGGACCCAGAGGATGGGGGGGACAGAAGGGGACCCAGGGGCCAGTGGGGCACACAGGGGGGGTCAGGGGGGTCCATACTTGAAGCGCTCTGGCGTGAGGAAGTTGAGGAGGTGGAAAAGCTCCTCCAGGTTGTTCTGCAGCGGCGTCCCCGTGAGCAGCAGCTTGTGCTCGATCTTGTACCCGTTCAGCACCCGGAAAAACTGGGGGGGGGCATCACCCACGGACCCCTCAGTGTGGGAGACACCCCATGACCCCACCCAGGGCACCCAGAAACCAGGAGGGACCCCCTCGAT